TTGTTTTTGTAAAAAGAATCTAAGTTCTATTCACTAGAGATTTATTTATTTTGTATAGTATTTCTCAAAAAGATACTAGATCTTCTGTAAAACATTATCTAATCTTGGTTCTCATAGGAAAAAATAACTATTTTAATATATGTACAGTATCAGTTCCTTTTTTTTGTATCATTTTTATATTTATTTGTTTCTATAGTTCTATTTACAAATTCTCTTCTTAGGGAACTGAGATTCTGCTGAGATGAATTGTCATATTCGCTTTTTTTAAAACCAAAAAACGATTGAGAAATAGAGATTTCTCAAACGAGAAGTTTAGAAATAATATGCAATCTTCAGTTGTTTTTTCCAGATATGAAATTTGTATAAAGATTTCTTATGTTGTTTCTTGATTATTTATAATTGTGATTTAAAAAAATATATATCATCAAACTTTATGTTTTTCATTCGTAAAAACATCTGAATTAACGTATAAAAACCTAAGATATTTTTTACAAATTAAGATATACCATGAAATTTGATGCATAATGTTAGTAAATACTAAAAAAAATATTTTTCTTTCAACAATTACATGAAAACATCGATTATAGAAAACTTAATCATGTGAATATGGTGCGGAAAAAAAAATATTGTCAGTCTACGTTACATTTGTGTCATTATAACCTCAACAGTAATATATAGTTATTTCATTATAAAATTCAATGAAGAAAAACCAAAGAAATAAATAAAATATTAATATTCTATTGAACTTTCTCATATGCACATTGTATATTAATTCATACTATCTTTCAATTTCTATAGGTGCCTTTGAGACATTTGTCTATTTTATAAAATTATTCTAACAAACTTTTCTTTCTATGATTACTCTTGACAATCAAAAAAAAAAAATGAACATAAATGTTTTTTTTATCAGACATTAAATAATCAAATACTATTAATTTGATTTTGACAGTTATGTCACATTACTATAAATAATCTGTAATCTATCGAAAGAAATCGACTATAATTTTGATTACTATTATCTATATTAAACATTAAATAAAATATTCAAGGCCATTATTTTTGTTTTTTTTATCAACTATCCATCGACTATCATCACGAAACAGACATTTATTTCACAATAATTGATATATCAAACAATGATATATATTATTTACTTGTCCTTAAAGAGATTTCATATACATGTATGTATATATGTATGTCTATCAAGGTCTACTCTTATTTTTTTTTATTCTTATCATTGATGATTACTATTATAGCGTTGTCATTATAGTGTCGTACTTATTGTTATTCTTAGTATCAATCGATTGAGAAAAACAACTGTAAGTTGAAGTTATGTAGTTTTCATCTATATTATCTTTTTTTTTTCTTTGTTTCTTTCAATAGGCAACATACATCTGTCAGTCAATATACTACAATGCAAGATGTACGTCAAAACAATTTATGAATGGATTGTGTTCGAGAATAACTGAAGGTTATATATATTGATAAATGGAACATTATGGACTAAAACAGAAGAACAATATATGATTTTAGTTTTTTTTCAAATAAAAAACAATACATAATGCAATATATTTAGATATACTTGTATGTATATGTGTGAAAAAGAAAATATGTATGCTTTTTTAACATTTAGTCTTAGAGATTATCTAGCTTTTGATATATTGTCATATGCACCATATAGTGTATGAAATGTTATAAATAGTCTCAGGGTTCTATTCTTAATACAGAATCATTGTTGCGTGCATTTAACCTTGGAAATATGAGAGAAACGTCGCATCTGTTGTAATACTAGATCAAATTATCCTTTACGATAACTAGTTTATTAACTTGTCACTCTGTCTTCTACTTTTATTTATTTGTTAGGATGAATATTATAGTTTGTTTATTAAAGAACATTTTCTATTTAATATCTTTTTTTTTTGGCTTGTATCTTCTATATAATAGACATGAACAATTCGATTATAGAAAAAGAAATAAAATCCAATTGAGCATGACAAAGTTAGTTGGGTTTTTTTTGTTTGACCTTCGATCGATTGCAAGCAAGCGAAAAAAAAGAAGAAACGTTATACACCCGATTAGAGTCATTTGCAGTTTATAATATACGTTCATAATCTGATAGAAATTGTCAAACGTCTATATGAATATGTGTGTTAACGGCAATGAACCGGCTCTACTCTTTTTATCCTTCATGATTAGGGCTATTAGTGGTTTGTACGATACAATTGCACATATACAAACAGACAGAAAAAGAAAAGAATGAAAGCGAAAGAGGACCTCTTACGCTATGCAGGCTTTGTCTGTCATATCTTAGTTTACAATATTGAACATTAACGCATACGTCGCCCGATGTCACCTTCAGAACCAGGACGAGGTAGTGCCAGACAATAGGCACATTATAATGAAACAGAGATGGAAACAAGGCAGAAGAAAAGAAAGAATGTCATTGTGTAGATAATCCTTGACGCAAGGTTATCAGTGGCATTCGTTCCGTTTTAATATATCACCATCTATTCTCTCACACACAAGAACTGTCAATAAGAAGAATGTAACTGACAAAGAATGATGACAGTGACAGGCCAGACACAATATATTCGTTGTCTTTGTCCAGACGAATCGATCATCATTTTGTCATTTCATATGTAACTACATGAGTAAGATAGATATATTCATTTATATATATCAGGTATGTTGAAAAATTCATTTTTTCTCTTATAGATTTTTATATCGATTATTAATATATCTTATTCTTGATTTCGTCTTTTTTTCTTTTTTTTTTGTTCTCTAATAATACTTATCTTCTCTTGATACTTAATGAGTATAAGTAATCGAATTGACAAATAATCACTATCGACAACGACGACATATACTTGTATATTGTGAAGACATAACGATCAAACAAGAGAGAAGTGAGGTAATAGAGAGATAAATCAAGTGAATGAAGTACTATCTACATCGTTCAGTTTGACAACACTGATTTTGTCATGATGTGCCTGGGGCAAGCTCATCACACACATCAGACGTTTATATCTACTCAATTATACTTGCATGGGTTTTTTTTCTCACTTCTTGTTCTTAAGAAAAAAGAGATTGCGGAAAAACTCTGTACTTTCTCGTTTTCTTTGATTGTTGATTGCATGTGTAACACTTCTCCACATAATCATCATCATCATCTTCATCATGTAAAAATTTCATTTGTCAATTCAGCAATCGATTATGACACATCATCAAATAGTTCATCTGTTGTTTTGTTGTATACGTCCATGCATTTGTACATATATATGTATGATCAATTAGGTAATACGATCGTGTCCGGATGTATGTCGCCATTCATTTATTGTTAACCATATTGTTGTTATAATATTTCTTCTTTGATGTTATACTACTCACAAATCGTTTATTCACATTATTTTATTGTATGTCTGTAAGGATTAATGTTCGCGCATGCAACAATGATTAGGAAAGCAAAAGGCAATTGATCAGTAAACGACATTGACTAATGGTTGATGACGGTGATCTGTGATTTTCACAATAAGAAAAACATGTTTATCATTTACTCCATATTGTCTATGTTATTTCATAATCATATATGCCTACTAGTCACATCTTGAACAATATTGTGAACATATGCATGATATGAAAAAAAAAAGATTATTTTTCCATGCTGTGCTCATTTATATATATATAATATATATATATATATAGAGAGAGAGAGAGAGAATAGTATTTAGTTAATATAATCTCGAGCTAATAAGTCTTAGTCTTTCTCTAATAGAGCAAACGAATAAAGAGAGTAGAAGAAAGCACAAAAGCCGGATAAAAGAAAAATTTGAAGACGATTGTTATCTAGTAAAACTAGAAGGGAAGGAAGACATATTTAAGATATGTAGAAGGCTTTTATCTACTTATTATTCATAAATATAGCAAATACATTATTCTCATTGAAAAAACGACATTCTAGAAGATCCAATCAACAACTAATCAAAAAGTGGTCATAGTTCTAGTCAATATACGTGCGTGAGTTCCTTTCGATCAACATTGTTTGTTTGCTTTTCTTAAATAGCAGTGTCTGATGTGTATATAGCTTGTTATCTAGCCTCATCATCATACTTTCTTTCTCTCTCTTGATTCGTTTTTCTCTTAACTTCCTCTATGGGAACTTTTTACATACATATGTATCTATTTTGTCTAGTAATGGAAAGAAGAATTCTGACATTCTTCTTTTTCTGTTTCTTTTATTTATTAGGACATTCATTTTGTCATATTATTTTTTCGTTACATTAATCAAAACTCAATATTTCTTCTAACTAGAAATGTCATATGAAAAAAAAAAAATTCTTCTATTGATTTTTTTTTGTTTCTAGAAAGAAAAATAATAAATCTATTTGTGTCCGACATTTCTCTCGTCAGAATGATAAACTATTACAATGACTTGTTTATTGCATAAACTAAGTGAGTATTTCGAAGACATTAGCATAGAAGAAACAGAACAACACATTAGGACAATATGATCCAAAGATGACATTTTACTATCATGTTTCTCGATTTATACAAATCACTTATGTACGTTTTATTTTTATTTTTGAACCGAAATAAAAAGATAGTTAAACAGATAGAATAAAGATTAGTTATCGAAAAGAAAAAATATATATCCTATAGGGAAATAATATGACATTACTAACTTCTTTAATTCAACATGTTATGCCGTTGTTACATAAAGATTATAATAACATGTTATTTTTTTTTATTCATTTGCCATTGAAATAGATAGATCAAAAAAATCGATAGGGATTTGTCAACGTTATTTTATGTTTGAAGGATGTTAGTTTAGAATACAATTATATTCTTCTTAATCTTAAGATATTTAAAAATCAATGAGAAAAGAAAAGAAAAATATTACGAACATTTTTTTTTCGTTCTTATCATTACTATTATTATTCTTATTACTAATATCATTTCGTATGCGGCTTGATTATTTCAAAAATAACAGAAAAGAAATAGATATGAATGTTTATTCATCACTCAACAAGAACATTATAAATAAAAGTATGTACATAGATGTAAGAGGAAAGAATATATCTAATTAGATGAAAACTTATTTATTTCTTATTTCATTAGAAAAATGTCAAGTGTATTAAAAGACTACTGAATTTGTTAGGAAAAAATATGTTTTGTATTTACGGAAGTCTGCATTGATAAGGAAAGGAAATAATGAAAATAACATTTTTATGAAATCCATGCCGTGTTCCTTCGTTGGTTAATGAATGTTATGTGTGTTTTTGTTGATTCTTCAATTTTGTTATACTTTATTGTATTTTCATTATTTATTCATCGATGAGTTTTTTCACTTACAAAAAAAAAAAACTTAATGAATAAAATTGATAAATTTAAAAAGAAAACAATAGCAAGTTTCTGTATATATATTCATTTCTTTGATATTTTACAATAAAATAAACTTACATTTTGACAAAATGTCTTAGAATTTCAAATCTAAATCGATCATTCTAGTTATAAATTCAAGATTTTTCTTCATTCTACTTATTCTAATTGATAAACATAATGTACTCTTGTATTCATCCGATATTGTCTTTTTCTCTAAAGTTAGAATAGAATCAATCTTATAGTTAACGTAATTGTTCAATAGGTCTAGAAAAAACGGAATGTACTATATCGATCAGTAAAGCGGAAGAAATATAAAATTAAGAATATGATTGATTAAGGCGTGTCATATATATATATATATATATACAGGCATTAGCTATATATATTTTATATTGGACTTGAACATGCAATTAAACATGAGAACAGGTATGTTACTGGCACATTCTTTCATTTTCTCACCTTTTCTTTTACCGTAATCTTTCTAAAACTACAGATTGAAAAAGAAAACGAGAAAAATACTTTTAGAAAACATTCAATCATTTATTCCCGACGTCTTCACATATATATTTCTCTTCTTATATTTTTTCTGAATAAATCATTTTTCTTTGCCTGCTGCTAATATCTATTGAGAAGAGACGATCAAGAGAAGCAATATATTTACTCGACGCTTTTGAAAAAAAGTCATATTGCCGTTATGTTGATAGATCCATTGTCCTTTCTCTTTTATTTATCGTCTCGTTTCTGCAAAAAAATTTACATTATTCTATGAATATATGTTTGACAGATGCATTTAGTAGTTCAGAATGACATCGTAACACTTTAATAGTAGTCAAAAATATATATTAAAAAAACGGTTGAATGACGCTCACATGCTTATAGGTGTATTTTGGCGCAGTAGAAAATTAAACATAAATAAGCAAAACAGCAAAATATCATAAGAACGTATAAAGGTAAATAACTTGCTTAAATTGATTAGGATAAAAAAAAGAGAATATGATTGGTATGAGAAAGATAGTCATCAAATCATGACCATCGTCATCATCACCATCATCATATATGCAAAAAGTATAGAAGAAGAGTGATGCACATCATACCGATCGATGCATTTTTTTTTTCTGTCTCGCTTTATATTACTATTGTATTCATATATATACAACTGTCTTGTCTATCTACGTTTTCTACAGCAAAAGTGTTAAAAAAAAAATGATGTTATCGATAGATTTATATTGTAAGCATTTTAGACATGTCTTTTTGTCACGGATTCTTTTTTCTTTTGACGAGCCTAACATAATTCATAAACATTTCCTGTATCTATTGTGACAATAGCCACTAGAGCGTATTCGCTTGAGAAAGTAACAATGAAATTTATATACAAATTTTCATACTTTTTCAAATAACGTCAAGATAGATAGATATTATTATTTTCTTTTATAGTCGTATTGGACATTTATATCTGATTTGTGTACGATTAGATATCAAATAAAGGAAGAAATATTTTCCTATTACTCTTAATTTTCTGAGTAATAATCAATTATCAATATTAGAAAATATTATATACTATTTAATTATCTAATTTTAATGTTAATTTTTTTGTTCTAGATATTCCAATGAATATTAGATGAAATGAATGAATCATTGTGGAGCACCAACCGCTCGATACTTTTCACTTCTACTATTACTAGTCGAGCTACAACTAGTAGAATACCATATCGTGAACAAGTTTTAATTGATGCATTTAATACATATATTCAAATTGGTATAGGCAGTCTATTATTTTTATTTGGTCTTACATTTAATTGTTTAAGTTTAATTTATTTTCGAGCATCACGTAGTTTTCGTCATACAACATTTCAACTTTATTTTTCAATTATATCAATACTTGATACAATACGATTATTTGAATTTTTTATATTTGTTTTATTTGATAAAGGTTACCTTCGAGTAACATTACCATTATGTCGTTGGGTATTTTTTTCTATTATGTTTACTGGACAGGTAAATTTTTAATGGAATTAATATTTTTTTTTCTTCAAAAACAAAAAAAAAAGAACGTCAATTCATTTTAGTTCAGAGATATAAATAATGACACATATTCTTCATTCCTTGTGTATTGCCTATTCATCTCATATTATAAAGATATGTTTGGAAAACTTAGTTGACTCAGTCTTATACTAAGAATAGAAAATAGAAAGATTTACTCATGCATAAAAGAAGATCAAAATTGATGTTGACTTTTTATTATTCTATAAATTAATAAAGATTTATTTTTCCGTTTAAGAATAAAGTCTTTATTAATAAAAAAATACATCATTAACAATTGATCTAATAAAAATCATTAACACAACAGAAAAAAATGTAACTAACTGTTAGACTTTAATATAAAGAATGAAAAACAATTTTCAGGCAAATATAATACGATAAAATATATATATGTAATTAAAAATTGTTCTTCTAGATAATTTTTGACTAAACTACTATTATTGAAAATATTAAAATATGAATAAATCTCATTAGAGTTTTTCTTCTTTCTCTTTAGGCTAGTATTTGGTTAACAGTTGCATTAGCTGTAGAAAAATGTATTATAATATGGTTTCCAATAAAAGGTCGTTTATGTTTTACAATATCAATATCAAAAATTGTTCTTATTGTTGTTCTTTGTCTTGTTTTTGCTGCTAATGTTATTTATTTATTACCAAATTTTTTTTTACATGCCTATGAAAATATGTCAATACATACATTTATGTGTGTATGGCAAACAGGAAGTCAATCATCAAGAACTAAATATGATCAATGGAAAAAACATTATTTTACATTTAATACAATATTTTTTCATTCAATTATACCATCAATATTATTACTTGTTATTAACTGGTTAATTTTATATAGTTTATCAAGACACCGTATTGGTTTATCCAAAATTGGTTCAATTGATACACGACATGCTTTAAAACGAGAAAAACAATTTAAAGAAAAAACTATACAACTTGTACTTTCATCTTTTTTTGTCATTTTTACGATATCACCAAGATATATTTTAACAATGGTTAATGCATTTGCAACTAGTATTAGTAAAGCACCATTAATGCCATTATATATATATGTTAATCTTAATACTGTATTTCGTGTTCTCGAAATGTGTAATTATTCACTTAATCTTACATTTGCTATCATGAGGTATGAATAAATATATTACACTCCTGGGCAACAGTCTTTCCCCTTTCCCCTTAACTCGTTTTCCTTTGAAAGAGGGAAAAAGACTTTTTCCCACGGATGTATATAGTCATTAGAAAAAATTACTTAATCAATCACCATTATTTTATTTTTTACTAATTTTTCTTTTTTTCTAGCGGTCGAACATCACGTCTTGAAATACGTAAATTACTCAGGGAAAGTTTATTTTGGCGATTTAAAAGAGTGAAATCCAGTCGTCGTAATTCAAAAATGAATACTCATTCATATCTATTCGATGATGAGGATGATGATACAGAACGTTCAATAGGTACAACAACAGGAGCTCCATCTTATTGTCCGTTAGCAACTCATTCACAAAATCGTCCGAATCATTTATCTCAACAAGGTACTGATAATCCAATTCAAACTAAACAAAAATCTTCATTTTTTACTTGTTGTGGTTATTCGGTTGATTTATCACATAAACATTCACTACATGCATCAAATGGTGATATAATATCACGTCGTGCAACAGTACATCAATCTAGTATAAATACTTTTAGTAATAATCATAATACTTCTCCAAGAAAATCTCGTACTTATTCACATTCGCCTAAATCATTGTCGTCGATTGATCGTAATTTACGACGACAACAAACAGTTTGTTATAAATCAAATCATGACAATAATCGAATGCCAACACGACGACGTTCTTCAGCAGCTGTACATTGTTTTCAACATTTACCTTCATCACCAACAACATCAATTACAAATCGATCATTAAGATTAAATACAAATTCGCCATTAGTTCGTCGATCAATAAAGAAAGAAGAAAAATATTCATCTATTGAGATATTATCAAATCCTACTTCTGATTCAATTTTAGCAACAACAAATGTAAATAATACGATTATGAAATCATCAAAAGACATAACAGATTCTACTGTACATGTACAAAATCAAATAGAAGAACAACAATTACCAGCATATATTGTTGAAACATGTTAATTGTTATTTTCTATATTAGTTGTATTTTTTACCTTTTTCTTTTTTCTCTCTCTTTAGATTGAATTTTTCTTTCTTTCGTGTTTACACTTTCGAACAGTGGCTAAATAATGATGAATATGATATGAACAAAAAAAAAGAAAGAAAGAATAATGAAACAGAAAAATATGATATAATAATGATAATAATAATAATAATAATAATATGAATTTTATGACTTGGTTTGCAGGTTGAAAGTATATATGTATATATATTTTGGAATAGATCGTTTTACATTTATGATCATTTCAATAAATATAAAAATATTCAATTGTGATTTGAACATGATAATAGTAGAAGAATTTTTTGAATTCTTTATTAACATTGATAAAAAAATATGATTAATGAAAGGAACAACGAAGCAAATCAATATTTATTATCGGTTTTATCCTATTGTATATTTAATGCAAAAGAGATACTAAAAATATATTTAACAGATGCGTCATTAATAATGACGTACGTCATATTTTCTATTTATTTTGATCACATTTGTAGATAGAAACATGTGCTTAATCTCAACATATTTACTGTTCTATTCTCTATAAAACTGCGTGACAACCTTAGATCTAATCTTTAAAGTGATCGCAAGAATTGAACAATATTCAAGTTCTCCAATATTTATCCATTTCTAGCATACAACAACTCGTATTCGAAGATTTTGTGCACTACAGCTTAGCTTTTTCAGGAGATATTTATCTATCATTTAGCAGTCGATCGGTGGCTTCACCTACAAGTCTTTTAGGGTCAATTATTTCTTCATATATCGATATTTATAAGGCTTGATTTCTCTTATGAAACTTTTCAATAACTATCACTTTGAATCAATACTCTTAAAAATTGGTGAAATTTAATGATAGACGACTAGAATAAAATATTCTAACGTAAAGTTTCAATCAATTTGCAAGAAAATCAATGGAAAAGAAGATAAAACACTTATAATAAAAGTTCAAGTTTCTACTCAATGGAAAATGAATATTTCCACTAAATATAGGATTTGTCACTCGATGTAAAAATGCTTATTTCTATGTCATAATGTCTTTCAAAAGTATCCATCACCGCATATAACAACAAAGAATTGTACCTAATGCCACAATAAAGAGAAGTTCAATATTCTTCAATTCTCTCACCAACTTTGAAGATTAGATCTAACGCTCGCGTGTGATATTATAGAGAATTGAATAATGAATCGTTTGAAACCAAGCATAGTTTTCTACCTACAAATGTAGATACGATAAAAAGAAAATGCGAATGGTGCCATGATGTATGGCGCACCCGTTACTTTGAAATTCAATTGTCTTCAAGACTAAGTGCTTTTTTTGTTTTAATAAAACCTTGACAAAAAAAGTACTATAAAAAAAAAGAACATTGAAAACATCTGACTTCGAAAAACAGAAGTCATTTGCGGTTAATCGAACCCATAGAGTCAATAAAGAAACTTACAAGTTTTTGAAATTACATTGAATCAATAAGAATTCGTTGGAATCGATAATTTATACCTCAGAACTACTGAATTTCTAATTTAGACTTGAAACGTTGTATAAAGATATGCTTTGATGAGAATAATTTATTGTAAAAGTTTCAGATCTTCTGATTGCTTCTATCCTAAGATATGGTCTTTGGTAAAAGCATGTAGTTCACGCTGCTCATGTATAACTAAAAATTTCGATGATCTTTTAGTAGAATAGAAGCAATCAAAAAATCTGAAACTTTCACAATAAGCAAGTCTCGTTAAGACTTGTCTCTGTGCAAAATTCGAAACTCAGTTTTCCGTATCCAGAGTATTCATAGTTCATTAGAACCTACATAGTCTCAACTCAAAAGCAATTTGACACTGAGAAATGTTTCCTCGTTAGATTGACTCATTCATTCATAGCAAGTCGAATAGATGAAATTTCAAGTGTATTTAGAGAAGCATTCAAACTACAAATAAACGTTATATCTGTTTTTTTTCTCACTACAGTTTTTATCTAAATATTTAGAAAAAGCTCATATGTAAAACTACTGATATGATATACAGAAATTTCTCTTTATTCAATGCTCAGAAAAAGAAAGAATTAATTATTATTTTAGCAAAGAATGTTCATCTGATCGAAATATAGTTAAACATTTTCTGCATAGACTATTGAATCATCGATGAGATAAATACAATCGTTGTTTTTTAACAATATTAAATTAAATATTAATCAATAAGAATTTTCAGTTTTATATCAAAAAAAAAAATATGTACACACATAAAGACATACATAAAATATAAATTCATTTAATGAATAATATTTAGTCGTATTGTCTTCATTAAATACTCATCTAAGAAGAATTCTTTTATTAACGATGACATATTATTCGCATTATATTCATCTATAGACTTAATTATTTGAAAGTTCTCGTACGTTATTTGCATTCCATATTAGAGAACCATATGTGGTACTTAAATAATATTTTGCTAATATGTTTATCTTATTCGTTAGTTATAATATATCCTCAAGATATGCTACAACAACCTATTTTACAGCATATTAGGTTTTAATTTATAAGATCTAAATAGCTGTAGGTGATTTACTCAAAATCATTGCATATGTGTTTTTAAAAAAAAAGAACAACTGTTACTCTCAATTCCACAAGATACTGTGTTCCAACCTCTGTACTACCAGCTGTGGAATGCCGCTGGACAAGTCACTAACAGCTGTTTGTCTCAAGTTACTCGGACAGTAGCATGTTGATTACGTTATAACATACACTTACTCTTATGGCTAGTTAATGTGTATGGAGAAGTTCAAGCAATTGTGCGTCAATCCAAACTACAGCTAGTATTAACTGTAGGGAAGATATCGAACTATTAAATCTGTTGCTTGGCAGTGTCTCATACCACAATGTAAGTTACAAGGCAGTAGTATTGTTTGTTCTTGCTACTCTCAATTCATTAAATTTTTTTTTCAAGTTTCTTTATCAAATTTAATTCATTTTATTTTATATATAGAGAAAAATAAGAATGATTAGAATTGATTTTGAGATTTAATACTATTATTAAGATAAGAATATTTATCAAGATTTTATTTCACATTTATAGTTTGTTTTATGGTTATTTTATTTTATCATTGAATATTTTCTTTTTAATATTAAATATAAACATGCCATTCAAGATATACATTGATTAATTTCATTTTTCCATTTCATCAACTAATTTTCTTTTCAACAATACTACAAGCAAATGAAAACATGACATGAAACTCTATTTGCTGTTTTCATGTAATAAATCTTATAAAACACATTAAAATTTTTGATTAATAATTAAATAAAATTGACAAGTGTATTAAATGAAAAGATGAATATAAACATATATGTATGTATAAAAGATCAGTCACGACTATCATTAACTTTAATTTATAATGAAAAAACAACAAAATACACAAGTTTATTTAAATTAATATTGACAATAAGAAAATGATAATAAGAAAAGAATCTATAAAAATTTTTGAACATTTTGATGAAATACTTTCAATTATAGTAACTTGTCGTAAATAATCTAAATTTGTTAATGATGAATAATTTTGTCGTGTTGCTTGTCGATGAGGATATAATGATGATGGACGTCGATGAAAATATTTAAAAGATGAACGAATTGTAGATGAAAGAATTGTTTTTATTGTTTGTGTTGTTAATGTTTCTTCTATATTTGAAATACAATAGGCTTGATCATTTTTTTCAATTCTTTCTAAATTTATTTCACAATATCCATGTTCAATTGACATATAAAAATATATTGAACGAAAAAGATCTTTTATTTGAATAAAATTATCTTGTTGACAATTTAATTGAAAATATTTATATAAACAACATAATGTTTCACGTATTTTCATACAACGAAATGATTTATCATCACAATAATATGAATTACAAAGTAAATGATGATGACATTGTTTAGGTATACGATATATATGTTGATTAATTAATATATTTGAACAATAACTTTCATTCGATAATAAATTCTTATCAATATTAATTAAATAAAATGAATTCGATGGAAAACAATTTATAATCGGAATAAATAAAACTATAATAACTAATAAAATTATTTTTTTCATAATCATTATCAAAAATCTAAATATATAAAATAATATCAAACTTATCAATTAAGAAGACAAATTTGTATGACGAAGACACGCCTAAAGGACCGACTTGTAATCATACAACACAGCTTGAACTCTCGTTATTCTCTCTCTCTCTCTCTTTCTACACTATATATACAGATAAATTATTACAACATATATGACAAGAAATGAGCAGATGTTTGCAGGCACGCTTTCATCCAAAAAAAAAATCTCGATTACTATCACCTCAAACATCAATATCAATGATACATTATTACGGACAAAAAAAAAAGAAACGGGATTGAACATAAGTTGGACTACCTAATTGTCCGCATCGAACATGACATTAAATGACGTTCGGACGCAAACGATCGTTGTTGTTGAACTAATATATTTTTTGTCTCTAGTGAATAGAACTCACTTGTATGATTGCGAAATCGGCAGCGTCTTAATTATATTATATATGTTAACATACAGTACGTAGAGAGTTCAGTCAATCGATTCAAGAGCACAATATTCTCATAAATATATACATAAATTGACTCAATTTCTTGTCAACAAGTTCGTGTCATAAATATTTGATACTGTCTTTTCATGGGCGTAAAGATTAGTAAAGAAAAGTAGGAAAAACCATCAATGTCGTTAACATATACAATTTATGAACGATACATTTGTTAAATAAGAAGAAAAAATAATAATAATAGCTACTGTCTCAGACATATTCAATTATGTGTTTAACGAAGGAGAATACAGACTTGATTAACAATACAAACGATAGAGAGAGAGGCTGCACTCGCCAATTATCTCATTGAATAGTAACCCAATATGATTGAAGTTATTCTTCAAATAAACATGACATTCCATTGATCTATCAATAACTTAGCTATTACTTGCATCTTTCGAAGTATATAAGAAGAAAAAAAAGGTTTCTAATTGATCAATGATTTACTTCACCGTATGATCGAATGGTTGACAACAATAGATTTGACCCTCACTCTTTCTGTTTTTTTTTCGTTTCGCTCGATAAATGCTTTCTATATGCATTTTCAATACTCATTTGTCAAGAGAGCGAGTAAAAGAAAGAGACTAGACTCAACTAGTTCAATAATCATTTTAAAATGAAAGAGTACCCAATGGGTAAATTCATATATATATGTACGTAGGTATTGACGAAGGACGAATGTACAATAACAATACGAGAGGAGGCCTCTATGCGATATATTATCACGATTTGTGCAAGCAAGCATGCACCCGTGATTATATTGTGAGTGCACTCTTTCATATGGAGTAAAGTAATTTACCTTCTCTTTTCCAACCACTTTACACACCATATTCATTTGTTTCTTTACTCCTCCTTTTATTCTTCAATCACTTTATAAAACAGTTGCTTTTCTAATGATATTCTGTTTTTTTTTTCATCTAACTATGAAACTATAATAGATGATAACAGCAGGATATGATTGACACTCATCATTGTGTCTGGCATTGAAATATACATACATGCAAGATTCACACCCTTGAAATACATATATGTATACATATATAAATATAATAACGACTAAACACAGAGAATGTGGCTAATAATTGATATCTGTCCGTTTGTTGCTTTCTCTCTGTAGTGAACAGACGTGCGATGACCATTTATCACATTCATACATGCAAGCTTTCATACATTAGATAGATAGAACGATAGATAGATATATCTCTCATTTCTTACTTATGATCAACTTCATAATGAGAAGTTACATACCTTATTTTATGGTATATGCATGTGTCCACTCAATGACATGATGAAGTACAGTTTTTTTTCTTGTAGTGAAAATGAACGATGAACGAAGATAATTACACGTAATTTTTAATGGGTTGTCATATGTGATAAAAGATTTACTTGTTTTATGAAAAATTCTACCTTTGATCTGTGACTATTGAATAGAAAGTGACAATAGAGATTTTATCAGTGAAAAAAAAAAAGAAATATTTTAATTTTCAACAGTTTCAATTGGTTCAAAAGTGTTCTAAATACTTATTGTAGTAGATTTCAAAATTTTTCTTTCTATGACAAAGATTAATATAAAGAGTAGTTTCGACTATCTATGGTATTCACTTATAATGAAAAACATTTAATAAAAACAAAATGTACAATACTTTCCATTAGCTTAGCACTTAGGTCAGTATTGATCGAAATAAAATATGACTTTTGGAAATTTTTAAAAGAAATACCTGATAGTGTTGAATATAATCAATTGATTCGTGTATAAAACCAATTCGAACAAATTAATCAAAGACTCATATTAATCATAAAGAAAAAAGAGTTGTAAGAGACATACAAATATAAGGTCATCTACTGACTGACAAGGATACTTTAACATAACACAAATAGTAATGTTAGGTGAAACTCATTAAGAGATATCAATAACGTTAGCGTGGGACTTGAAGATATTCGGCTAGAAATTGAATAAAACGAGAATACAAGCAGTTAATGATTTGCAGTTTTCAGTAATGGAAAGAGAATATATGGGAACGTCTTTTTCTCGGATAATATATAGGATGAGATCATTTTCAAGCCAATGATTTCCGCAAAATATTCTGATCTGTCATTCCGATGAAATTTGGATAACAACTAAGAAAATTTGCATAAAAATTAACAAAATTTAATATTATTCGATCGAACAGATACAATTTTATTTGTTCAGTATTATGATGTGAGAATCTATTTTAAAGGCATGTCGAGATGAAAATTTCATCGGAACGACAAATCAGAATGTGTTGCAGAAATTATTTTGTTTCAAAATAATTTCATTCTATATATTATAAGAAAAAAAGGAAGGCGTCCTCTACGTCTTCTCTTTGTAAATGCTGAAAGCTGCAAATTACAAGATACTTACGTTCTCGACTTATTCAATTTTTTTACTGAATATCTTTATGTCTCGCACCGACATCAGTACACAAATGCTCTAAATACCGAACGTCTGACGTAGTATCATAAAAAGAAACAAATGATAAACTTGGCGAAGTTGTAACTATATCATTTGATTTAGGAATATATAAAACTGATGACAAGGTCGTCTTGATGAAAGAGTCCAAAAAAATGAGGCGTCAATGATTCTGTCTACATTGTCGTCAGTATTTAGGAAAATATATTCGAGATTTCGTAAGTTTATTGTTATTGATTTGTCAGAATATTTGTAAATAATAATTCACAGGTGATTGTGAAACTAATGTATATGAATTGTCTACTACCATTTACAGAGAATTTGGTTTGCTCTAAATATATAATAATTTTTCAAGGCATACATCATTGAAAGATTTCAGCAAAGCCATTGATCATATACATAGAATTTGTTATTATATGAAACATAATTTCCAAAATTTATTTTTATCCTCTTTGTTATTATATGCATGATATTGGAGAATAGAATACGTGTGAAATCTCTATGAATGAATACATCCCTGCTTTCGATTTAAACATTATTTTTACAATACCGATTGCTACTTTGACCTCTTTTAAGTGAACACATGTGCATTTCTTGTTTTTCATCTTCTCTTAATGATTTTTGACTAATCCACTAAAACTAATGTTTATTGTTTACTATAACTGCACATATCAAGAGAAGCAATGACATGACAACATTATCTTACATTAAATGAAAAAATTCACTTAATTAATGATTACAACGATAGCAATGATTCATCACAATGTGAATTAGCTGAAAACTCGAATATTTCATTGAGTTCTATATCTGATATTTTAAAACGAAAATTTGATGATTATATATTTGGATGAATTGTACGGTAATGTTCATCAAATGCACATTTATCAAGACTGAAATAATAATAATAAAAGACTTTGTGAAATAAAACCAAGGTTTGTATTATTCTGTTGAAAATTTTTTGGATTCATAAATACTCAAATGAAGAAAGGTAAACAACACAGAGAATGGTCTCTGATTACCAGTGGCAGATCCAAAATCTTAGCGAAGGAGTGGTGATTTCTAAATGATACATTCGGAAGTAATATGAATTTATTTTTAAAACAAATCTATTAAGGTGCTCTTGAACTTACGTTTCACCATATCACTTTCATACAATAAATCTAGAAACTCATGAATAAACAGGTTTTTTTTCAAGAGGGAAAGAACTGTTTGTTTTTCATTTTTCATCAACTTTAAATCGATAAAATCCAATGTCAAAGACTTAAAAAACTAGAGCATAATTAGATTTACAAATTTCATCAACAACAAAATTAACTTTTACATCCACATGTCGATAAACATGTATCATAGTTACTAGATTAAACTTTGTTTCTGACATTGTTTTACATAGGTTTTAGACTAAAAAGAAATATTTGACTTGTTACAACATTATTTTTAGAGAAATTTAATTGTAATGATGATAATACTGGCAATAATAATATGAATTGAACCTAATCTCATTATGGATTTAAATCTGTTAAGTTTGATTGATTAACGAGGAGTACTAAATTTTATTAAAACCAATGTCAACGATTTATTATATGTTCTTCTTGTTTTACTTTGAACTTAGTTTCTTTTTTGAAAAAAAAATCAGTAACATGAATGGCACATTAACGAAAGCAATCTTAACAATAAAATAATTCATATTTTACCAAAATGCTTCAACTTCTCTCACAATACCTAGTGAAAAAAAACAGATCTTTTGTCGAAAAGAAATTAAAGACCTATTTACTTTTAAAGTATCTTTGAATTAATTATCAGTCAAAGGAAGTAATCATTAATGTTCTTTTTGCATTTGCTGCTGTCACTTATCCGAGAGCTTGACTAATCATTGAAATGAGTTGCATATCATTCGTCGACAAGACAGTTTATTGATAGATATTTGGTCGTTCAGACAGTTTGTCGACAAATACTTCATCGTCAAGTAAAATTTGTCGAATTTATTTCGTCGACATCTTTTTGTCGATAGTTTTTAACTAGTTAATCAAAAAATATTTCCTTTGGAAACACAATGACAATAAGATTAAT